GATCGTCCTAATTTTGTCAACTTATGTTAGGCTTAATTTTATCATCGACATATCAGATAGAAACTTTAAGCAATCTTATAACATAAAATCACTAGCTATTGCCTTCCCAACAACTTATCTCTTACAAAATAATTAGTATTTTTGTTCGGATTTTACAGCATTATTTTATTGATCAGTCATTATTTATGAATAATGTTAGATGTTTAAAGTATCGTCAAAAAATGATCGAAGAGTTATCAGTGACGTGTTTATGCACGCAGAGCCACGTGTCATATACACTCTTTCCCTGACAATTTCAACAAGAACAACTTGCTCTAACTCTAATTGTGTTTGCGATTCCTTTAGAAGACTCTTTTGACTCAGCTTGTGAAAATTCGTTTTGGAACGACGTTAAATACGACCGAATTTCAGATAATTAACTTAGATTACGGCCTTTCAGTAAATAATTTGCTTTTGTTGCAGAATATTATGAGAAAAGTAAATGGCGATATGATGTCAAGGAAAACTAAGTCAGATGATAAACATTTTATAGCCATTTAACCGAGTGGATATTCCACGTATTCGTTACAATACATGATTTGTCTTAGACCATAGTATGAGTAACTCAGACATAAATATCTGATAGAGGATTATGCCTTGCAGGTTGCGGATTGTTTATACATATGCATGTACATAAGTAAATTTATATATATATTTATTTCGTATACATTTATGAGACTGTCTTAGTTGATGTGTGAACACAGAGTAGTGGTAATTTTGCTAAGCGCAGTGTCTAGGCGAATCAGAAACACAAAAATTAATAACTTGCATGTTAATTACAATGGTATATTTTTCGTTACTTGACAATGCAGATTGATTGGTACACTGCGAGTACAACCAAGCATTGTCTACGCCGTCATTTTCCGATGTCCCGTCGCATTCTATTGTGCTGCATTTTATTGAATTTGATTTACGCGCCAATTTTTGTAGGCTTCGGTTTTTATTAACTGACCTCGGTGCCGATGTAAACTTAATTGAATCCGGCAACAAAAGGTTTCGAATGAAAAGAGCGTCCAGCGGTGTGCGATGCAGATTAAAATAGGTTTTCCCGAATTTGCATGGGTTTCAAGTTACTCGATATTCGATATTTTCACGGTGGTTGAACTATTGTATTGATTCCATGTTTGTATGAAAGCATTCCATCATAATACAAAACTCTCTGTCAGATACACTCAAACCATAAACCGTTTACAGTGTATGCGTGAATTCTGTGCGACCTGTGACTTTCTTGCATTTGGTGGAGTTCGTTTAAATATAAAGTGTTAATATATACAGTGATCACTTAGCCCTTGCAAACTAATATATTATTATTCAGATCTTCAGAAGTCAAGTTCCGGGAGCCTTTGTTTCTAATAACTCGCTAAGTTTGGCTATACTTCAGTCCAGTCCTACTTTCAAGAACTCTAAAACCTGACAGTAGTTTGAGCACTTAAAGTTTAATTTATGTAATGGTACACTGGCTATTATCCTATAGTTTGGAAAGTCTATTTTAAACATAATCTGTATAACTGGGACTGATCCCTCTTATACGCATACCACTGTAACTCCTGTACACCAGGATTAACAGCAGTGACCCACGAACCCACCGAGTTATGACACTCGGGCAGTCCCAGGAAAAAAAAACTGTCTTGGAACCCAAAACGAAATGAATCAGAAGAAAGTTGGAGTAGTTAGAAATATAATAATTCCACCTCCCCTTTTAGCAAAGCGGGAGACAAAATAAAGTAAAAATAGGTATACACCTTTTTTTAACACCACAGCCACTAAATATTATACGAGTATGTCCTAAGTGAGTTATATTTGATTTCTAGCGGGTTGGGTTGCCACGCAAAAGAAATGTTTGCATAACTCTTGGCTTCTAGGTAAATATATATATTATGTGAAAATATAATAAAGCGAATTCTACGACTCATTGTACAAGCTAGGTTTAGGTTATTAGTTAGGTTTATAAACAATCAAAAATCCGTATTTATTTTAAATTACTTACAAGTCAAGTGACATAATAGAACTTAAAAATAACTGAATAGTTGCAAGCACGTTTTGGGAAAACACATGGTTATAATCATTATTCAAAATAGAGTACAAAGTATCCCGTCTTGTTACAGTCAGGCCGCAGCCAGCAGTTAATTTTGCACCATTCCCGCTCTCTGCCGGCCCACAGCCTCATCGATGGCTGATATCGCCGCCGACGTGTGCTCCACTTGGGACCGGCCCTCTCCCGAACCTCCTCGAATCTGCATCTCTCCCGTGCAACGGCCTCTTTCTGAAGCCTCTATCGAATAGCTCTCCGTAGTCTTCTATCATAGCTACTCTTAGTCTCATTTTTTTCTATTAAATAGAATTTAAAAGCTTCTATTTCTTAAAGTTTCTAAGAAAGCAAAATAATTTACATCAAAAGGGTTATACTTCATCTATTAGATGCACCGATTGAGAACTTCTCCCCTTCACATTATAAATTCCCATCCTACTTTCCACGTTCCCGAATTAATCGCTCGAGAGCCTCTCTCTATTAAAGTTTCTTCACAAGTTGTTTGAGAGGCTCAACTTCTTTAAAAGTCTTCAGATAATGTTAAACATTCATTTAAGTGCGCGAGGACCGCCCAACTTCCGAATTGTCGTATAAATCTCCCAATTCTTCGAGCGTTTAATATTCATATCAGAGTTTGCAAGTCACAACTGTGAACTTTGCAACGGTTTACCAACTGTTAAGTCGACAGAAGTTTATATATCTCAATGACAATAAGGCATAGGTACAGTATAACAATGTATCTATATATTATGAGGAAAGGTACTAAACTAGGAAACGCATCACCGATCGCGTATCCTATACACCCTTTCAATACTAGGCGTTTTGAAACATTTTAACCACTACCAAATATCTTAGTTAAAAAAATTTTGAGGTGTTATCACTTTAGTTCAGTCACATTTATTACTTTTCGTAACAAATCTTTATAGGACATTAATTTACGTTTCTACAGTTAATAAAGAATGAAGTGTAAAACAATTGCAAGAAGCCGCCAAAACACGTTCCTCGTTCACTCAGGTCATTATAAAATCTCCAACTTAAGCTGGCATCCTTAGCCTTTATTGCTTCGAAGTTCTACAGAACATTGCGAGTTCGCTTAGAACATTAGGGAAGGTCTTCGTAAATTGGACATGTAATAACCGTCTCAACGATTGCTATTGACGTTACTGCATCAGCAGTTTCGATACGACTTCCCCGCTCATTTAAAGACAATGTCTACAATTTCTCTTTCAAAGTAGGTAGTTATTTAAACTAAGAATAAACAAATTCAAATCAAGGCTGTGACACTTGTGTTGGACTCCGCGGACTTTTTGGCTGTGGTCAGTTTGAGTTACAGATAGCGGACCCTGACCTGCTCGAATGTACATTCCGCGTGCTTATGCTTTCCGTACCTGTATTGCATACACGGATGTAAGCAATACAGTCCCTTTCTTCCAATGCCGTGCCTACTACCTGCCATTCTTTTTCATTATGTATGGATCTAATCCATCTAACCACCCGGGTTTGGCCTGCGCAGTTGAGCGGCACACGTTGGGTTGAGTGAGTCTGTCGAGATTTAGCGAAGCAGGGTCGTTTTTAATTATTCTGGTTATTTTTTCATACTATAGGGAGCAAACAAGCAGATGGACCTGATAGTAAGTGACGGGCCACCTCCTTAAGTCCCAACCCCCAGAATTCTGCACAAACCCACCTGGGTTCTCCCCTCCCCTTGGTTTCCTATAAATAAACGCCATCTAGGACGCCATCATTACTCCAGATTACGATTAAGAAATTGTCCAAACCGTAAACGTTTAAAACCTTCGGTCCTTACTCCTAAATTAGGTGATTGAAGAGGAAGAAATCAAAGTTTTGAAGGTTAGTAGTAGGTTTTTAAGTAATTTCTTTTGAACAAATAGAAAATACAGTTGATCTCAAATAACTGCTTTCGCGCCAGGCGAATCAGCTTCTTTGTATAGAATTTACTCCTTCAGTCTTGTTCAAACACCACAATCAAATAGTATTGTTTAACCAAGTAACGCAGTTGTGCGTTGCCTTACCATGTACTTAAAACATTTAAACACTATAAACTACAATACGATTATTTCACCTGACTAATGTAATAAATATTATTTAAACTATCATATGGTCACTTATATGGGCACATTTCAGTACTAATACTCCACTAAGTAATATGCGTCAGATTGCCACCAAATTTTTTTACCTCTTCGAATCTGCATCATTTGTTTTAAAAAGTAAATGGACCTAAATGGAGAGCTTCACTGATAAATAAATAAATTCTATTTCACAAAACTAAATCCCTCCAATGTTTTATACGTGTATGCAATTTGAAATAAAACTGCAAAGATGCACACAACTCTCGTCGCACGGCACACCGCACCCGCCCAAACCATGTCCTGTCGACGATATTTTAAATAAACTGCATTTTTTTTTAATGTTCTAAGCATATTTTTCAAGAGTCGACATCGCTCGTGGCGTATTAATACTCTTAAACACCCCTAACATGAATAATTAGGTGTTCCCCGGATTTATCCTTCGCCGTTATCTGTAAAACACGCGTTTTAAATTCGCGAAGTCATTCTTTCCGGTTTATTGAGGATAATACATCTTGGCTCGGATGAGATTCTGATTAATGTCTTTAACTCGAGTTGCCGTAACTTTGTCAAAGATAGCGGAGAAAAATAAAGGGACGTGACTCGACTAATTCGATTTTTACGACATTCAAAGTTAAAAAGAATTATAACATTTAGTACGAAAATGAGGGTTAAATACTTTTGTAAGTAACCTAAACTCTTGAATTTAAGCTGGCAGTACAAATGCATTAAAAAGAAAATAATCCATTCCTCTTTTGAACTTTCTGCTGTCAGAACAACAATGGGTTTGACGGTAAAACGTCAATTAGTTTTCTGATAATTCTTTATGACTGTTTTCTACAAATATGAAAGCTAAAATTCTAATTACACTATGTTTCGGTAATATTTTGAATTTTCGAGACAACCATTTTCTGATGACTTTGTTTTCGTACTTAAATAAATGTTATAATTATTTTTCAGCATTATTTTTCTGTGTTGAAGTATATGCGGAGGGTGAACAAGAAGTTAAAAGAGGACTGTTCCCTTTTATGGTAAGTAAGATCTGGTATTTGAGCTAAGGCTTACTTTTTTCTATAATTATTTCCAATTATACTTGTTGCGGTTCTAAATCTAAATTGATAAGCATATATTGACGATACTGCGAAGTTAAGTTGGAAATGTAAAAACCATACAATTTCTTATTTCAAGAGCTTATTTATTTGCAAGGATGATTCTTCATATTGCTAAGACTGTGCAAACCAGTATGTTACTACTAGCCGGCATTGACTGATTTCAATGGTTACTTCTAGGCATTTATTTATTATCCTGATGAGACAGTAGTAGACGCAACTGGAGCAAGATTCCTTAGAGGCGCAGTGCTTATAAGACCTGACTGGCTAGTCACTTCTGCTGTTGGCCCTAGTATTCTTACGAATGGTCCCAAAGGGTTTCCACGTAAAACGCTCTTAGCCAGAGTTGGTGCCATCGCCATTGATGCTAATTTTACTCTAAATGAAGACGAAGATGAGCAGGAGCGAGAGGTAAAATTCAAAACTGATATTATAATTATGAGAATTTATCTATGCTAATATTAAAAAGAGGTAAAGTTTGTGAGTTTGTACGTCCGAGGTAATCTGGCACTCCATGGATCGGATTAAAAAAATTATTTTACTGTTAGAAAGGTATATTATCCCTGAGTGCTATGGACTAATTTTTATTATATATTACACCCGGGCGAAGCCGAGGCGGGGTGGCTAGTTAATTATAAATAGAGACTAAATTGTGATATTTTTTTTATGAATTAAATGCATAAAAAAATAAAATTAAACAGAAGTATCAGGGTTGTAGACTCAATACTATTTACAAATTTGCAGTAGTAATATTATTTACAGATCATACAAATAGTACGTCCATACAACCACAGCGCCACACAGTGGTGGCATACTGACATCTCTTTGATGAAGGCGCTGTTACCGTTCAACATGACGTCGGCTGTTTACTACACAACGCTGAACTTTAGAACTGAATACATAGAGAAAACCTGCACCATACTAGTCTTCGCTGTAAGTATTTAGTATAAGTAGTAGTAGTAAGTAAAGTATATATCATTATCCTTTAATTTATTTTTAGTTTTATTTACTAGTATTTACTACTACTATTTAGGAGACGGCGTATGCAGATTTTTTGCATTTTTTTTGTATTTCTACCTACACTATACTATGATAACTAAAAGTACTATGATAACTAAAAATTAGAAAATCAAAGGTTAATAAAAAATTATTTCCTCATCTATAGATTCTAGGGGTTAGCCTAATATTGATTTTTCGATAGAATCTTACAATTGGATATTTTTAATATGCATTTAATATGTGCTACTTACCTTACAGGAAGTAACTAGTTAAAAAAATTAAATAATTTTGATATAGTGAAAATATTGACATGATTTTTTGCCTGATTGAGTTACTTATCAGGGGAAGTAAGTATCGGAAATACATATTTCCACTTTTTTTTTCTTTTTTTTTTGTGTAGTAATCCCTTGCGATACTACCCACCGGTAGGGTGGTTATGTTGGACTCGAACCGAATTAACCGTACGTTATCTCGGGACCAGTGCGCCGTGTCCGTGGTTTGTTCATCGCAGTGGTCCTCGGGCGTAAGCTCCTTGCGGATCAGACACTGGCGATCTCCGAAGCATTTTTTTCGGTGATAACAAAAATTACAGCATAACATCAACAATTAAGGAGCTGACTACTTAGAAAGAAATCCATAGCCTCATCCGGATTATCAATCGCAAACAACTGGTTGAAATTCCTTTCATTAAGTGCCTTTGTCACCCCAGCATGGTTACCGCGTCCAACACTTTTTCGGCTTAGGTGTTTAGCAGTAGCCATGTAAAGCACGGTGCTATAATGATCCGTGAGTGTTGTTTGGACTACAAGACAACGTGCTTCCAAGTCGGTCTTAAGCATGATCTAGGCACGTTTTGTCGTGGGTGATAAAAGTATGGGCTGGTAGAATACCATGGAAGGCTAGCATGTTCAAGTAAATTACTGTTACCACAAATATCGATGGTAATGCCACCCATTATGACCACATTTTGCACAGAGGCATACATAGTAAGTCTATGTTTGCCTCTGTGCAAAATGTGGTCATAAAAGTTGCTTAGATCCTTAAAACCAGGCGGGCGATAAATTGCAAGCACTACTGTGTTCTTATTTGGTTATATGACTAAACAATTGGCGTTGGTTAACTCTGTTTCTTCAACTATCATCACCAAGTCCTGTCTGATATAAACAACAACCCTGATATAAACCTGACGAATTATAACTCTCTGTAGTAGGCACACTATCACGTGTACACGGCAACAAACATTCTGTTAAGATTATACAGTCCCAATTTACACTTGTTCATACAAGTAGTGGTAGCAATTCAGTTATGTTGCGATTAGCGCTTCTGATATTTGCCTGAAATATTTTCAAACAGTTCTTAGAAGTGTCTTGGGCCAGCACGAAATGTTGGTAATCTTCTGCATCACAGAGTACTGAATCCGCAACATCAAAACTATTAATTTCATTTTGTATATCATTATAATCACATGATTAAAGCATAGTTTAAGCAGTCACTTTTTCCAATCAAGTGTCATGTTGTAATTTTACAGAAGAAGTATGGTAACTACACGGAAGAAAGAGCCCTAATGCAAGTAACTGTTGAAATGCTTCCATCTTCGGTTCTGAACTGCGGTCACAATTTTCTTAAAGAAACTATGGCATGTGCTGCTGACAGTGACGAAAATAAGTACACTGTTTACGATCCAAACTTCTGTAAGGTAAGTTTATTTTACATATAGTGTAAAATTCAATAATCAAAGCTCTTAAACATCTAGCTATTAGAAAGATCATTTAAATAATTAATTATTGTAAAAAAGATAATAGTTAAAATTAAAGAAAAAAAAGAGTAAAAGAAAAGAAGATACAAAACCTCTATTGACTTTACCAATAATTTGACGTTTAATTTCCATTCAATATAGGGCAACAGTGGCGGGCCTCTGATTTGTGAAGGTGAAGTTATGGGGATACAAACCTACATAGATAACGACTGCAAGCAACCTCATTTGTATCAGGTTTTGTCTGCTTGGGAAAATTTCATAACTTGTGGAACAGAGGATAAATGTGAAGAGGAACAGTGCTCTAAACTTTGTGATGTAGCTAATAAAGATCCTCCCTCAGCTGCTATTAGTAGTAAATCGATGGATGAAGAAATAACTACCACCCAAAACAGCAGTTCTGTTGTAGAAGTAGCAGCTTCCACGTTTGATACAACTACTGAAATTGATGATAAACCACCAACTCCTACAATAATTCAACAATATTCACTAACCACAGACCAAGTCACTTCAGATCAAACTACTTTAGAGCCTGTTACCGTAGAACAAATTATTACAGAATATATTACTGCAGAATCAATTTCTTCATACCAGACGACAGAACATACTACTGTAGAACAGATTACACCCGATCAAGTAAGTTCAGATCTAAATGCAGTAGATCCACAAAGTTCTACAGAACAATCACCCGTGTATTTAGTGAGTGCATCTGTAAAAGATACGGAATTAAAAACTTGGCCTAAAGAACGTAAATCCGAGACGCAAGAGCCTGAAAAGGTAAACAGGAAAACAAAAGTAGAAGCACAGGTACAGAGAAAAACTAACTCTGGACATACCACTGTAATAAAGCAAAGTTTCTTGCTAGGATATTTCATTTTGGCGTGTTTGATTTAATTTTCATTTAATCAATGTTGAAAAGAAAAATAAAAACTTTTATTTTTTCACTTTTTTTCTTTTTATTGATAATTCTCTTTAGGAGTATAGACCTAATTTCAATTAAATTAAATCAGTTAGCGAACAGCAACGTCCAAGTGAAATCATTCCGGACTCGACAGCAGATTGTCACAATAGTGTGACTAATAGATTTTTGGATGTGGAAATCATTAAAAAATTTATTTCACTTCATCATGATCTCAGCCGAAAGACGTCTATTGCAACAACCGGTCCTGTGCTGCCCGCATCTAGAGGTTTCCAGCGACCTTCACTTTACAAACCTATAGTGACAAGTAGGAAATGTGCAGAAATATTAACAGTATGATAATCAAGAGAAAAGATCCTGTTAGTCACTGGTGTGACCACGAGTCCGCAACGAACCGAAATTAATCTTGTTTTTTATTATTATTCATTAACAATCTCATAATGTCAATCACTCAACTTCCAATTTGGTACCTATTTTGTTCAACCGCTTTTAGGTGTCGATATGTCTATCTTTGTCTGCTGAGGATTTTTTTTTAATTTTCTTATGGTCTGATTTATCTTTGTTCTCATTATAAATGCAGAATTCTTAGAAATGTGCCAGCACGACGCCGATGGGGAAGTTTTGAGAGTAAGTAGATTTAAGTAAGGTTGCAGGCTTAACGCCTCCGCAGCCTGCTCTAATAGCATTAACAAGTTTCCAGACCTTATTGGAGGAATTTGTACAACGTGAACAATATGAATTCATATTCTATTGTACAACTTGTACAATATAATATGAATTTTAGAAAATTTTGTTCTTTTAAAAATATAAGTTAATTATATTATTATCTACAAGTAACTGTACAATTTAAGTTTTTCATTTATGGTAACGTCTTCTGGGATCGTTTCTAAATACCTGTATAGTGCTTGCTATTGCTAATAATATCACTCGTTTGCAATAGACTTGGCTATCTATCGGTAGTAGATAAAACCTAAGATATCACTATTAGGTAAGTTTTGTACTGTAGTTTTTGCAAAGTTGGATGTTGCAACTGAATATTGTAGTTCTTAGTTTAATACTTGACACCACGTAATATTTCTAAGTCTAATCAATAATTTAATGAAAAAGATTAGTAAACATTAGTCATTTCTTTTAATTAAAGTAATTGAAAGTAATTCCCCACTTTTTTTATAAAAACGAGAATTAGTAGTGTTATCCCCCAAACAGATAGATAAATCTAGCCAAGGATTAATCTCAACGAAGTGCAACGTACAATTAAAACTTATTTAAAAAATAATACGGAAACAAAATTATCAAGAAACGAAATTATTTGTATGAGACCATGTGACACCACAGCCTGTCAATAATGTGTTAAACGCGATTTAAATCCTCCTGTCGCAAAATGTGCCTTACATTTTACATGTACTTTTTTAAAATGTGAAAAATGTAAATTTATGTATTTACATTATCATTACATTTACCATACATGGAAGAGGGAGATTATAATATAATATTGTACCACATTCACACAACGCCATTTAGTCTCAAACTAAGCAGAGCTTGTACTATGGGTACTAGACAACTGATAATACATTTATACTTACAAAAAATAATCTTGTTTTTACAAAAAACACAGATTATACATAGAAACATCAAACATTAAATGTTCATGCACACCAATGTTTGACTTCGATTTTGAGCGGGAATCGAACCCGCGACATATAGTAGTCCGTTACACAAACCACTAAGAGATCCGGTCGTCAATATGCTTTTTTAATTGCTTGGAATATATCATTGAAGTGAATTATTTTGATCCTATTTTCAAAATATTATATTTCTTTAACATAAATAAGAGTCTTGCATCAATTTCAACATCTTACCACCGATATGTCGTGAGAGTATTGTTGGTTCCACTATTTGCCCAAAATTGTAATGATTCCTAAGATTACCTCTACCTTTATATAAAAGTTATCGATCCATCATAAATATTTCTTCACAGCAACAAATTTTTATCGTGAATAGAATAGCCGATTTCGAAAATACCTTCAAATATCCATAGAAGCATATATCAAAAAACACCTATGAAATTTGTAGTGTATTATATATCGGTGTCAAACTAATTATCATATCTACCAAAGACATCGTCCCATCCAAATCCTTCTGCCCCCTCACGAAGCTCCCTATTTGCATTCCATAAAGTCGTGGTTAAGTTTGCTTAAGTCCAAAAGCCCTTCGCAGTTTGTTCTAATGTGTTATAGTTTACTAAACATATGTACGTAACATTTCACCAGAGGAATAGGTATACGTTCGTTTTGTGATATTGTTAATATCTTCTGAGATATTCTCGCAGGTGCTAATACAATTATCTAAACACTATGAACTCGGGTACACCTCGGTGGCCTGGAGGACTGTAGGCGACCGCGCCGTAAAGTGCGAATATCTTGACCATCCTTCGAAGATCAGATGTGCAACAGGTCCACCTGTGACAATTTATCCTTCTTGACGTCTAAGTTTAATTCAGTTGATTTTAATCTTATAATCACATGTGTAATGTGTAAGTATATATTTTTATTACAATATCAATAAAAAGTGGCAACTGCATCATTTTTAAACTCAGCATTTTCTTCCTAACTTCCCGAGTGCACTGAATCGAAATGTATCTTAATACGACTCGATGTGTTTAAATTCGAAAGGGGATCGCATCGGAAAACTGTTATGCATATTTTAAAGTTAAATTTACTTACGGCGAAGCCACGGCACCGAATGAAGATTCGACTCCAATATCTCTTTGCGAAGTTTAAAATGTTTTATGATATTCACCGGACGTGATAACGGTAGATTCTTGAATAACTCACTCAATTGAAACGAATATAAAACATATTCATTTGAATTTATCGTCTGAGAAAGACGTGAACTCATTATTTGATGTATCAACTTACTTACACTGGCTTGTTATAAAACGCCTTGTATTCGAGAATAGCAATAATCACAGCGTCTGTTTGTTATTCATTGCCTTTCCAGACCAAAAAAACATACGTTAAGTTTTATTTTCTTGATTGTTTATTATTGGAAAGGGAACCTGCTTGAAGATAAACGGGTTCGAATGACAGTATAGTTACTATAAAGACGCCTCAATCTATCAAATTATCAACCCTATCATACCTCAGAGGAACTTCAGACAACGAACGAACTCTACTAGTGAACAGATACATACAAAAGATATAAAATAATGCAAATCGCGTTTTCCTGTCGCTCGTATAAGTTGTTTCCCAATCTTCCAATCTTCATCTCCTAATCTTCAAGTTAATACAACACAATAAGGATCTATAAAAAGGGTAATCACTACACCATAAGTGTTTTATTTAGCTGTCATAATCTTTTAATTTTGTAACTCTTCGATTCTCAATGTCTCTATTTGTGGGTAGTTATGTAATTCTTTACCGCTTTTCAGTAGACACTTCCCAGCTAGAGCTAAAAGCAGAAACGGATCCAGCTTTTAAACCAAGAGGTTTCATAATCCGAGCGACACCCTCCCTAATCAGAGACTTCCTAGCTTTTATATATATACATACATATGATGCTATATGTAAATAAAACTATTAGCGTAATAATCTCGCTCTGACAGCACAGATAGCATAGTGGTTTAAGCGGTCACCTTGCCGCTTTCTACTGCACAAGTGTTGTTGGTTCGATCCCCATATGAGACAACATTTTGTGCGATACAAAGAATTGTTGTTCTGAGTCTGGGTGTTTCATGTATTTTTAAAAGTCCCCACTACACATGATATATTCCTAGTGCGGGCGTTGTCTTAAAAAAGAAAAGTTTAAATTCCATGCCTTTATTTTAAATTTTTCCTTTGTTAATTTGGTCAAATCTGAGTGGCTTGATTTGAAGGATGTATAAGGTACATGGTACATGTACAAGGTAAATGTATAGAATAATAATCGAAAGTAAACTAGCCAATGATGATTGATGATTATTTTATAAATTGATTTAAAGTATTTTCTTTCAATCAGGCTATACCTTGATTATAATTTAAAACTATTTTATTATATTATATATATATACATATATATATATTTTCAAAATACCTAAATAGATCTATTTTAAAATATGTTTTCTTACCATACTATCATAACAATAACATATTAAACTCCTTCATTATATTTATTCCCTTCTTTCAAATTATTTTACGTTTTATAAGGCTCAAGAAAAAAATTAATTAATTCCCAGAATGCATAAAGATAAGTTTTCTTTACTTATCCATACTTTTAAATGTAAAAGTGAGGTGGTTTGCTTGTTTGTTAACTTTCACGCCTAAACCACTAAACCGATTTAAAAAATTCTTTCACCAATGGAAAGTTATCTTATCAGCGAGTAAAATAGGCTACTTTGTACCGCGATAACCGACATATATGCAGGCGGAGCTGCGTGTAAAAGCTCGTAAATAATGTATTCAGCCTTAAAATGTTAAATGCAGACCTTTAATCATAAATATTTTCATGAATTGTAAAACTGAGAAATTGCTCATTTTTAGCCCTAATGTGATTTTTTTTGATCTAGTAATCATTTTTCATCACAATTTCGCTTGTATACACTAATTAAAACAAAACAAACACAACTTTTAGTATTTGTTAAAGGAGGGTCGAGTTAACAAACAAAAGAAATTAATTCAACAATCTCGTAAAAAGAAATAAGCAGTTAATAAAACTTTTAATAATTAAAACTCAAATAAAAATAGGAGCATTGGGGCCATAACTGTCTATATTACTAAGACCTCACTTACCCGTGTCTAAAGTGAGTAGAGATGGAAGAATAAGCACATTTTAAATCCAGCTGAGGGGTCTTCTTAGGTGGGCATTGTGTAAGAGCCATTTTCCTATATAAATCCCTAGCCGGAGGGTAAAAGAACTGACAACTGTCGTTAACTCATCCTGACTGGGCATTAAGGAGTGTAAACAGGGAATAGCTCATAAAAATAATAGCTCGTCTATTTATCTCGATAAGAATAAAAAATTGGTACATTTTTCGTATTTTATACATTGCAATGAAGGTAAAGTTACCCTAGCAATACAGAGTTTGCAAATTAATGAAATGTACTCGATCACACAAAGACATTTATAACTCGATGTTTTCACTCGTTATGAGTAAATGAAGTCTAGTCGACTTCCTGTTTATTGATGCACGGAAAGATGAAGGATACTTGTCGCTTTATAGGTATGAATGTATGTCTGTTTTAAATACAAATGATGCGGATAGAAAGTTATTTTAAAATAAATCAGAACCACATTTTAGTAAAAAGTTCAAATACTTACTTACTTAATATTTATTCAAGCATAACATTCTCTTTAATAAAAAACTTGAAACATTCCACACATGGCCGTTTAATAATAATAATATTTTCGGACATCCAACACACAACGCCTTCTAGTTTCAAACTAAGCAGAGCTTGTACTAGGAAAGCTTTTTGTAAATACATACATTTTATACATAGAAAACAAATATTTGCAGATCATACAAACATTAGGTCCGACCCGGTAATCGAACCCGAGACCTCAGCACAGCAGTCGTTTACGCTACCACTCCAACACCGAGGCATTTCATCCAAAATTAAACAGAGCCTAAACTATGGTAACCAGACTGCTGGTATACTTCTATATTTCTAAATAATACAATATAATATAATATTATACTATCTTTGGCCCGCGGCTTCGCCCGCGTATTTGTCGATTTTCGCGTTAAAAAGCAGCCTATGTTACTCACTGATAATGTAGCTTTCTAGAAGATTTTTTAAAATCGGTTAGTGGATTAGTTAGGCGTGAAAGCGCAATAAACAAACAAACTTGCTTTCAGATTTATAAGTATTGATATTACATTAAATACAGATGTTATGGAAGGCCCTTGAAAAAAATATTTAAAATGAATATATAAGTAAACTTAATAATTTGAAATTAAATTAACTGAAAAAGAATGATTAAAATATGAATACTTGGATACATCTATCCAACCAATCCAATCAAAAATCCTTTATCACTGTTTTAGTCTCGGACGTGGTTTCCAATACAAGACTTTCAGTTTACAGTTTCCTTCACTCTAACTCCAACATCTTGTCTATTAACCTTGCCACAATTTACCTCTTTCATTTGTCTTGTCTGCAACGATAACTTTCCTTAGGAGGGTTGGCAACAGACAGGCGGCAAGCCTTAAAAGAAATCAGCATGACCACTAGAGATGGAATAAAATCACAATCACTGTTATAAAACATATTATTTGTAAAAATATAATCACATCCGTGACTAATTTACAACACCACTGCGACTTGTGATTGTGGTTACAACTACAGACTCGCGAAAGGTCTTAAACTAAAAAGCAAAAAAAAGTATTTATCTTTGTCTTTGCCTAAATCCCAGTACTGATTTTTCACAAGTGAAATCGCAGTGACTAATCCCAATCACTTTATCATATGATTATAAATATAAAAAGTTGCAAGAATTTCCATCACTAATGACCACACGCATGATCATGATATGGTGACAGATTAAGCATATGGAATTGCACCACCTTTATTCATCCCGTGGATGTCGTGAGATCCGATTTAGGGAGCAAACGACGCAGGACAACACCACAAAAAGTAAACTTGACACAAACCCTTTTTTTTTTTTTTTTTTTTTTTTTTTTTTTTTATTTTTTTTTTTTTAACGTGTGGAAATCCCCTCGGACCGTCACCCCTCCGGGGTTTGCGGCGGGGTGGTGTGTCGGACTCGGACCGACTAAAACCACACGGTGTGCCACTCTGCGCCTGTAACAGGAGGGATCCGGGAACAGCTGTTGTTAAGACATCCGGACCCCTCCTAGCGCCAGCCCGCTCCTGTTGCGGGCTCCGTCTCAATACATTTTCCTCTCTTTAGGCGACGTCCGGCACACGCGGACGCCGCCCCCTCGCGGCTGGCCAACTAATGCGGGTGGAGGGGAAACCCACCCCGTCCACCCGCGGCCACACTCAGGGCGGCATGAGGCTGTGATAGGCGGGCCTCCGCCGCCCGGTTCGCCGGCGGCGGATCGGGTCCGAGTGGAGGTCGTCCTCCCGGGCCCTCTCCGCCGCCTCCTTCCGCGAGATTACTACCTCGCAGAAGGTTGCGACCGCGGTAAAACAACTGTCGCTACCGGCCATGGAGCGTACTACGGCCGGTAGCGAGAGATCCACTCCGATGACTGCAGTGAGGGCCCGGCGCTGCGCCGCCCATGCGGGGCAGACCGCCAGCGTGTGCTGGGCCGAGTCCTCACTGCAGTCGCAGTGGTGGCAGGCGGGACTCAGTTCCCTCCTAGCGACCGTGTGCAGGTACTTCCCGAAGCAACCGTGCCCGGAAAGCACCTGCGTCAGTCGGAAGGAAAGGGTCCCGTGCTGCCGCCCTGCCCACTCGGCGATGACCGGCTGGAAAGCCTCCACGGCGGCGAAGCCAGCGCGTGGAGTCTCCAGCCGGAACGACCAACGAGCCATCGTG